TTACATTCACAAGCATAGAGTTCTGGCAACCCAATTTCACTCCAGAACAGGGCTTCTAGAATGTAGACGCTGATTTCTACTACAGGTTTGGGCATGAGAAACCGGGTACAGAGGCCCCCATGTATCGTCCATTGACTCACTCACTCATTCATTCACCTACTCAATGCATTAATGCCTATTTATCATTGCTTTCCACCTCTCCCCCCTACACAGCCCCCACTCCACAGGGACAAACCATGTGACTGCCCCCACCCATCCCAACCACCCTTGATTGATTACAATTAATTATTTATTTGGTTCTTAATGGGGGTGTACCATTCCCTAAAAGGCATTTGGAAAATTTGGAGGATTGCCTTCTATTTTAGTTGTGACCAAGCATTAAAATATTGAGGTAGACCCAAAGGGAGACTATTTTTTTTTTATTTCTCCCTTGTATTAGTTTGGGGGAAAAAACCAAAAATTTATGTTAAGATAGAAGGTCTTACAAAATATATAAAAGGTGTATTGGCAGGGGACTTCTGCCTATGGCTGAGTAGGGAGACAGTAAATTCTCTTCCCCAAAAGCAATTATAAAGCTGGACAAAACTGACCAAAACAACCATGTAGCACTCTGGACATTAACCAAAGGCAGACCACAATGGGAGCAGTATTTGTGCATGAAAGCTAGAAATTTGGGCAATAACAGAATCTGTGGCATTCTTGCCTAAGGCTGCTCCGATTCTCTCCTCCCAGCTCCCAGCAGAGAGCTTCCACTAGTGTGAAGAAGTTTCTCTGCTTTGGTTAAAAGGGGATCTCTGGATCTGGGGCAGTAAGCAAAGCCCACGCTTGGCAGCCTCATAGGTTCAAGTGAAAGTCTCCAAGGCAGAAAAGCAGGAGGGCCAACAGCTCTACCCAGACTGAGGTTGCCAGTCGTGGTTGGGCAAATCTATCCCTGGCTAAAGCTACATGCATGCTCTGTGGAAACTAGAGAAGACCCAATCCAGCCATACGCTCCTAGCCAACCCCTGGGTTGTGCATGGGGGCAAAGATGAGAGAGAATCCAGCAGAAAGTAAACCGTAGGAAACATATGAAGATGGCCTGAATTTTTAGTGTGCTCCTGCTATCAGCTGTTCTAAAACAGCTCCTCACTTCCTAGGATTCCGGCCCCATGTAATCCTCACTTTGGGTGAGGCCAGCACATAGTGACCGGCTTCTAATAAAGGGAACACGGCAGAGGTGATGAGTGTCACTTGATGGCTAGGTTATAGAAGAAAGACTTCTGCCTTCCCTTCATGCTTGCTCTGGTTCTTCTCCCTTGCTGCTCTGATGAAGCAAGCTGCCGTGTTGTGAGCTGCCCTATGGAGAGCCACATGTCACAAGAAACTGAAGGTGGCCTTCTGCCAACATCAGCGAAGGACAAATTCAGTTCAATGACCTGCAGGCAACCCCGTCCTGCCAACAACCAGTTCAGGAACTTAGAGGTAGATCTCCCCCAGTTGGGGCTTCAGATGACTGCAACCTGGCCAACACCCTCATTTGAGCCTGAGTGAGAGGACCCAGCTAAGGTACTCCCAGAATCCTGACCCACAGAAACTGTGCAAAAATAGATGTTTTTGTCTGAAGCCACTAAACTTTGGGATGATTTGTTATGTAGCAATTGGATGACTGACAGAGCTCGCCTCTCTACACACAGATTCCTCAGCAGAGGACAGACTGTTTACTGACTTGAGGTATCTGAGCACAATCTCTGTCCATTCAGATATGCAGACAAGGTAACAACACTTTGGAAGCCAGACTTACATATAAAAACAAAAATACAAGAAATTTAACTGGAAATTTCAGTGGCTTCACACCATAAGGAAGACAGGAGTCCCAGACTGGAATTGTCTGATTCACAGATCTTTTATCCCTGGATAAGTTATTCAACAAATAAACACATAAAAAAAAAAAAAACCCAGCAACAATAAACCTGGCAGGAATCAGAATCCAAAGTTGCTACAATATTTTTTAATGTCCAGTTTTCAACAAACAAATTACATGATATGCAAAGACACAGGAAAGTCTGACATACTCAGGAAAACATCTGTCAATAGACCCTGTCTCTGAGCATTCCTAGATGGTGGATTTAGCAAAGACCTCAAATAGCTACTAAAATATGGCCAAAAAACTAACATAAATGATGTTTAAAATGTTAAATGAAAGTATGACAACAGTGAACCAACAGAAATTCTAAATAAGGAGACAGAAATTATTTTTTTAAAGGGAAATTCTGGGGTTAAAAAATACAATTGAAATGAAAATCATCCTGTAAAGATTCAACAGAAGATTATATAAGGCTGAGGAAAATTAGTGAACTTGGAGAAAGGCTGATAGAAAGTATCCAACTAAGAACAGGGGGAAAAAATGATTGAAGAAAAATGAACAAAACTTCAGAGCCCAGTGTGGCTCAGTCAGTTGAGTGTCCTACTCTTGGTTTCAGCTCAGGTCATGATCTCAGGGTCATGAGATAAAGCCCCAAGTTGGGGTCCGTGCTCAGTGGAGAGTCTGCTTGAAGATTCTCTCTCTCTGCTTCTTCCCCAACTCGTGCTCACACACTCTCTCTCAAGTTAATTTTAAAAATACATCTTAAAAAAAAAAAAGGCAGGGCATCTGGGTGGCTCAGTGGGTGAAAGCCTCTGCCTTCAGCTCGGGTCATGATCCCAGGGTCCTGGAATCGAGCCCCACATCGGGCTCTCTGCTCATCCAGGAGCCTGCTTCCTCCTCTCTCTCTCTGCCTGCCTCTCTGCCTACTTGTGATCTCTGTCTGTCAAATAAATAAATAAAATCTAAAAAAAAAAAAAGGCAACTTTAGAGTCCAGTGGGACAACATTAAGCATATCAATAGATGTGTAATGAGGGTGCCGTAAATCAAAAGACAAAGGAATAGAAAAAAAAATGGAAAAAACAATAGCCAAGACCTTCCAGGATCTGGTGGAAAACATTAAATACATATCTCAAAAGTTCAACAAGCCTCAAGGAGAATCAATACAAAGAGATCCACACCCAGACACACCATAGGAAGCATTTTTTAAAATATATTATTTATTTTGAGAGAGAGAGGGGCATGAGGAGAGGGGAGGGGCAGAGGAAGAAGCAGACTCCCCACTGAGCAGGGAGCCCGATGTGGGACTCGATCCCAGGACCCTGGGATCACGACCTAAGCCGAAGGCAGATGCTTAACTGACTGAGGCACCCAGGCGCCCCACAGTAAATGTTTAAAAGACAACAATGGAAAAAATCAGCAAAAGAAAAATGACTCATATGTACAGGGGAGCAACAATAAGATTAACAGCTGACCTCCCATACAGAACAATAGAGAGCAGAAGGCAGTGAAATGGCATATACAAAATGCTGGGGTGGCGGGGGGACTGTGAATCAAGAATTCTACTATCCAGCAAATCTTTCACCAGAAATGAAGGTAAAATAAAGACATTTCCACATACATGAAGACTAGTAGAATTCATTGCTAAAAGCCCACAAATATATTTGTAAAAACAAATGAAGCCAGATGCAAAATACTACATGTACATAACTCCATTTATATACAACTCTAGCAGACGAAACAGATCATGAAATTAGAAGTCAGGATAGTATTTTCCCTTGGAGGGAGACTGTGACCAGCAGGAGCCATAAAGGAGGAATGCTGGGGAAACTGGTTACAACAGCTGTCTTCATTGGTGATTCTGGCACATTTTATATAGATACTTTCCTTCTTTAAGAGTTTACTGAAACAGGGCGCCTGGGTGGCTCAGTGGGTTAAAGCCTCTGCCTTCGGCTCAGGTCATGATCCCAGAGTCCTGGGATCGAGGCCCGCATCGGGCTCTCTGCTCAGCAGAGAGCCTGCTTCCTCCTCTCTCTCTGACTGCCTCTCTGCCTACTTGTGATCTATCTCTCTATCAAATAAATAAATAAAATCTTTAAAAAAAAAAAGAGTTTACTGAAACAAAAAAGGAAGCTTGATCATACCATTCTACCCCTCTTTTTGAATCCCTTTATTGTTTTCCACTTCTTTCCCAATTTGAGCAAACCTATCACTTCTACGGACCTGTCTTGTCTGGTCTTTGACCACCTCACCAGCATCATTTCTCTAGACTTGATACTCTGATACTGATACTCTAGACTTCGCCCTTCTGTTGATCCTCAAGTCTCCTGTGCTTTTATCCTGCCACAGTGCCTTTGCACATGCTCACCCCTCTGGTCCAGAGCCCCCCTGAGAACTCCTTACCCTTTAGCTCCAAGCTTGAGTCATGACTCACCCATCACCAATTCAAATCTAGTTCTTTTGTTTTGTCTACTATACAGAATTGCCTTTCTTTCCTTCAGAGCACTCATTTTCCTTGTTGTTATGGATTCATAGACTAATTTGACTGCTGCTTTATCTTTCCCATTGGTCCATATGTTTTAGGAGGTCTGGCTAGGTTATTTTGCAGGGTGTCCCCAGGCCCATGCCTGGTACACAGTAGGTATCTGATAGCTATCTGCTCCATGAACATAAAAGTTATTGAGGCTATAAAAACTTCATTCTAATTAGAGTACATTGTAGAAGGCCTGGATACCAACCTAAAGGAATTTGGATATTTTTATAGGCTGCAGGGAGCCACTGAAGTTTCTTGAGAAAGGGAGATATGTGACCTCTGTTTAGGAGCTCTGTGGAAGTGGAGGTGGAGAAGCCATGAGGGAAGTCATGGCGGAGTCCCAACAAGGGACTCCAGAGGGGCAGCGACCGTGTGGGGAAGCCGATGTTGGACCCCACTCTGCCCCCACAGGCCAGCCTGACAGTGACCTCACAATCACCTTGCAGACCTCCCACTCTTGGGAGGCCAACATCCCAGCTGTCAGCCTACCTCTGCCTCTTCCATCCACCACCTAAAGGCCACACCCTGCCAACCGAGGTGCTCCAGGCCAGCTACCAGAAACAGAGGGATCGACAAAGCAAGAGTGAGCCACCTTCCTGAACCCAGCACACAGCCAGGACTCCTAAATGACGGAGAAATCAGAGCACCTAAAGAATGCAATGCCCACAGAGAGGAAGTCCACGTGGAGAACGGCGGAGGAGAGGCGGATGTCAGACCTCACGCGGGTGCTGGAGTGGCTGGAGCGGAGGCAGGGGAAGAAAAAGCAAGTGTATGATCTCCAGGTATGGACTGCCCCAGCAAAGCTGCAAGGCAGCTAAACTCAAGGCTATTCCAATAGGGGAGAGATTGAACTTGACTCCCAGAAAACAGAAGGCAGGAGGAGCTTTAAGCAAGGGAGTGAACTAGTAGAAAAATCCTGGGGGGAGACAGGGGAAGTTGTCCATGTGGTTAGGCCAGCTGTGTTGGCCACTTGTCGCTCAAGTTATTAGACTCCTACCTTCCCATAGAGACTGGGAGGATGGGGTGCTCTCTTTCCTGATGATTACATTTCATCTTTTTTTTTTTAAGGTTTTATTTATTTATTTGACAGAGAGAGAGAGAGGGAGAGAGCAAGAGAGCACAAGCAGGGGATGCTGCAGAGGGAGAGGGAGAAACAGATTCCCCGCTAAGCAGAGAGCCCGATGTGGGGCTCAATCCCAGGACCCCAAGATCATGACCCGAGCTGAAGACAGATGCTTAACCGACTGAGCCACCCAGGCACCCCACATTTCTTCTTTTTTTAAAAGATTTTACTTATTTATATGAGAGAGAAAGAGCACGAACAGGGGAAAGGGAAAGGGAGAGAGAGAATCAGACTCCCCACTGAGCAGAGAGCCCGACATGGGGCTTGATCCAAGGACCCCCAAGATCATGACCTGAGTGAAAGGCAGATGCTTAACCCTTAACCAACTGAGCCATCCAGGTGTCCTCTGATGATTACATTTCAAAGGGATGGCTTCCAGGTCCTTTAGAAGAACATTCCTGGATTATAAAGCTGGCAAGAGGCTAGGAAAAGACTTACATCTCAAAGGGCAGAAAAAGAACTTACAAGTGCCAGTTTTTAAAGGAAGAGAAAAGAGCAGTCATGGCCCTAGAGACAGGAAGGAATCTATCAGGAGTTTAATCAAGGTGAGGGGAGCATTAAGGCTGTCTCGGTCAGTGTTCCAGAAGAGTTTAGGGCCAATAGCTTCTAAGATCTTGGTGGTGGCAGAATGGGTCCTCCCCACTGTCCCCAGACACTTAAGTCCTGATGATGGCTCTAGCGTCAAAGGGCATTCAGTCTCCACTGACACTATCCCACTGGGACTCCCACTAACAAACCTCTTTTCTACCCTGTATCACAACTAGTTCTCATCCTCGGGTCTTATTCCTTTGGGGCTGCTATAATAGAATACCATAGATTGGGTAGCTTATGAACAGCAGAAACTAACTTCTCCCAGTTTTAGAGGCTGGGAAGCCCAAGATCAAGGTGCTGGCAGATTTGGTGTCTGATGAGGGCCCAACTCTTTCTTCACAGATGGCCACCTTCTTGCTGCGTCCTCACAGGAAGGAAGAGAGGGAAAACCTCTCTGTGGTCTCTTTTATAAGGTCACTAATCCCATTCTAGAGGGTTCCACCCTCATGATCTAATCACCCCCCCCCCCAAGGCTCCCTTCCTAATGCCATCACATGGCAAGTTAGACTTTCACCGTAGGAATTGGGGTGGGGGGAGGTCACAGACACTCAGTCTATAGCACTGCCCTTCCCTCTTTTTCCAGGAACTATGGCAATGAGTTTTACATCAGTTTCCCCCAGAAATCCCCCAGGTCCATCATCTATTGGAAAATCAAGCTGTGTTCTTAGAAAGTGGTCTCCTCTGTAGAAGATGCTGCCTGATCTTGAATTCCCCAGCCCCCAGAGAAGAAGGGGTGGAAAATGGTATTACTAATGACAGTGCTAACGTTTATTTAGCATTTACTGTGTGCCAGGCCCTGAGCTCAGCATCGCACGCGTGTTATCTTGCCAACTGCTCCCCGCAGGGCTGCAAGGGAGACACAATTCTTACCCACCCCAGCTCACGGGAGGTAATGAAGCTGAGTGAGGGTCAGAGAAGATATGTGCCTGCGCTTACCGAATTAATGAAGGGCCAAGCCAGGACTCCAAGTCAGACTTACCCTGTTCTCAAGCTCATGGGCTTTGTCAGGTCAACTCCCCATAGTCACTTCCACTTTCTCGGTTCCAACCACTCCAAAAACTGTGGTGCCCCCCCCCCCCGTCTTTCCAAAACCTCCCTTCTGTGTATATGCTTACTTATTTATACTTATTTATATTCAGAAAGATCTGAGTGCCCGTTCCATCAAACTTACTAAATCACATCCTGATAAACATATTTTACATTCAGGTGCTAGTGATTTATGGATAGGCTACCTCCTGCCCCCATTTCAACTGCTGGGTCGCTCAGAACTCAATATCACTCACAGAAATTTACATCCACTTCTATGATTAACAGGCATTTCTTCTCATGAAAATCATATTCTAATAATGTTTTCACAGCCTTACCTTTAATGTGGCATTTGCTGGAAATAATTTTGGATTCAGGAAGGGAACGAATTTTAAATTGAAAATACAATGAAGGGGCACCTGGGTGGCTCAGTCAGTTAAGCATCTGCCTTGGGCTCAGGGTCCTGGGATCGAGCAGGGCATCCGGCTCCCTGCTCAGCAGGAGGTCTGCTTCTCCCTCCCACTTCTCCTGCAGTCTTGTGCTCCCTCTCCCTCTCTCAAAAAAAGTAAATTTTTTAAATCTTTTTAAAAAATAGAAAATACAATGCAATCTTCAAGCATCATTATCCTTCCCAGAGGCACCTGGATTTTGAAAGAAGCTCCTGTGATTCCAGGAAATGTCTCAGACAGCACAGGTTGGGGGGGGTCCTTTAATGTAGATAGTTGGAGAGGTGCTGTCTGTGGCCTCCTCTCCCTTCTCCTGGCATCTGCACAGGGATTCATTAATTTCTCAGAATAACTCTAGGAGATAGATCCTCCTCTTCCCTCCGTCTCTGGAGGAGGAAACCAAGCCACGGCTGCTCAGCCACCAAGCAATGGAGCAGGATCCCCACCAGGCGTCTGACCTGGAGACCAGTCCCGGCTGCCGTGTCTCCACAACCACCACAAGTGGAGACCCAGTCCATTCAGCTTTCCTTGAGGAACTCGGGCATCCCCAACCCTCATAGATGGGCCTGGAGGTCCGTCTGCAGGCCCCTCCCCGCTGGACCCTGGAACTCCCTAATGAATGCGTCCTCCCTGCCTGCCTGATAGGAGAAGAAAGCCAGGCAGGCGCACAAGAAAGTCCACGTATGCCCCGAGAAGCCCCCGAGAAAAGAGAGAGGCAGGATGAATTGTGATGATAAGATGGGGAGGGCTTGGGAGAGGAGGGAGCCCTGGGGACAGAGGAAGGGTCCTGGCTGGACTCTGAGACACGGTGGCCTTCCTGTGGTTTCAGACTGGAGGCCTCGGCAGGGAAGTCACAGCTGCATAGGCCGATTGGGGGTCAGAAGGCATCCCTACCAGGTTGGGGAGAGGGGCCCTTGTATAGAGGGTAATAGGGAGCTAGGGGTGGGTTCTGAGGTTGGGAGGGACAGTCAGACCTGAAGTTTTTAAGTTTTTAAGGCAGTGTGACATTACACCGGGGTGTGTCTGGAGGCAGAAGGACAATTGTGGGAGTGGGGACAGAAGTGCCACCATGGAGGCCAAATCTGGAGGTGGGAGGGGGCAGCCCGCTCACCAGCGTGCCGTCCCTCTGTGGGGACAGAGGGTGGCCTCTGCCCACCAGACAATCACAGGGCAATCCTCTCTGTCTTCAAGCAGAAACCCAAGGGGGTAACTGCCCCTAAAACAAATGGGAAGGAAGGAAAGAAAGACCTAAACATCCTGAAACAGCAGAAAGGGAACCGCCAGGTGGCGTCTGCCAAGCAGGTGACACGGGCTTCCCACGCTGAGAGGGTCCCCGCTCTGCTCCTGCACAGAGCCCGGTTGCATTTTTTAAAATTTAAGGCTCTAAAACCCACCCCTGCCCCACATGAACCCCCAAATGAATCACCTGCCCCTTTACCCCTCCAGCCCTCATGCCACACACTGCCCCACCCGATGGAGACCGGTCCTGTGGTAGAGGGTCCTTCTTCCCAGGTGCCTGTCTTCCTCCTCTCAGCAGGCACTTCCCCGCCATGAGAACCCCCGGGGCCTCCCTGTCCCCTGAGGGCTGCGGCTTCCGTGACCCCTCATGACCTCCCTCTGAGACAGGTGGGACCAAAAGTGAGGAGTGGGTGAGCAGGCACCAACCTGCCCTCCCTGCCCCCCTCACCGGCCCCAGGGCCTAGAGCGGCCTCTCCTTTGGCCCCTTTGCCTGCTTTCAAGCAAACCCTTGAAATCACTCATTTTGGGGGTGGAGGAGGCCATGCCGAGACCTGTTCCTTGTGATTTAACTTCTTTCCCACACCCCTCCAAGTCCCGAAGGCAAAGCACCAAGAAGGACAGGGACCCCACCGTGCACGGAAAGATCTACGGCAGCGTGGACCCAAAGGGAAAACGCCTTAGCATGATTCCCAGCAGCTACACCAAGGATGGCCCCAGGAAATCCGGTAAGGGAAGCATCTTGGTCCTGGGGTGCCAGGCCGTCCTCCCGTCCTCCCTAATCGCCCGCCTCTCAGAGGGACAGGACGCTCACAGTGTTTCCAGAGCAGCAGTACCCACGTCAGCCCGGCAGCTGTGAGCCTTGGCAGAGCCCCACGTGACTCTTCAGGGCTCTCAGCACAAGCTGGGTGTGACCCGGATGGCAAGCAGGTGGAAATCTAGGCTCCACCCCCACTGGGGCAGGGGTTCTCTTCTCAGGTGCAGCAGCATGTGCCCCCCCCATGCCATTCCTAAAGCTGGTGACAGCAACCTCGTGAGCTCCAAGTTGTCTAATTAGGTACTGTGACAATGTCAGGGTAGCATACGAGGTACCACACCGGCTGGCCCGAAACCTGCCATGTGTGGCTCACACCCAAGAAGAGGTATGCTAAGTTATGCCCCGTCTCCAGTTCCCAGGGCTGCCCAGGGTTCGAATCTTGGGTCCACCACTCTGTAGTGAACTCAGAGTTGTGTGAACAGGAGTGGGTCCGCCGCTCCATCTCTGGGGCTTGGTTTTCACATCTATAAAATGGGACAATGGCATGACTTGCCTCCCAGTCCAGTTTCATGAAAGGAGGCATATAAAGCATGCACCCCAATACAGACTAGGTACTCCATAAATGGTGGCAAATAATTATTTCTAAGGAAAAAAAAATGCTGAAATGCTCAGGTGGTCTAGACCATTGTGTTGGAAAAACAATTGCTTTTATTGTGCCTGGCTTCTTGGAGAGGAGGTGTGTGGTTGGAGAAAGATGGAAGGGATTCCAATTAGCCCAAAGGAGGAATGGGCAGAAGCTTTCCAGCAGGAGCTGCCAATTCTCCTGCACCAAAGTGCTCCCATTGTGCCCAGCAAAACGTCCTTTCTCCCCTTCTCGTTTGATACACTCAAGCCGTTGAAACCAGACTGCACTCACTTGCCTATCAGATTTAAATATGATTGGCTCTAAATGCCGTGCAGGATCCTGGACTGAATCCTAGAACAACACTTCAGTGGGGAAACTGGAGAAATCCAAAAAAGCTGTTAGGTGCCCATGTTAATTTCTGAGTTTTTTTTTTTTTAAGATTTTATTTATTTATTTGTCAGAGAGAGAGAGAGAGGGAGAGAGAGCAAGCACAGGCAGACAGAATGGCAGGCAGAGGCAGAGGGAGAAGCAGGCTCCCCGATGAGCAAGGAGCCCGATGTGGGACTCGATCCCAGGACGCTGGGATCATGACCTGAGCCGAAGGCAGCTGCTTAACCAACTGAGCCACCCAGGCGTCCCTTAATTTCTGAGTTTTGATGAATGTGCCCCGCTTGTGTAAGATGAAACTTACCCCTCAGGGAACTTACCCACTGAGGGAAACTGAGCAAGCAGTGCCCAGGAGCTCTCTATACCATCTTGCCAACCCTTCAGCAAATCTAAAATTACTCCAAAATAAAAGGTTTATAGATAGATATAGATGTGGATACAGACACAGATATAGATAGATAGATTGACTGACATATGACTTATGGGAGACCCTACATCTTTCCCAAATTTTCTGTGATTCCCGGTGCAAGTCTGGCTCTGAAGTCCAAGTTCCGCTGAACCCCTGAGCATCTGCAGATCTTGATTCCAGTCGTTGCTCCCTGCTCCCTGCGCCCTGCCACTGCACACAGACACAGAACACAGCTCTGTTTCCTTCATTTGCCCCCAAGCCTCTCACATGAAGCCTTTGTGTGTAAACAGACTTCACCGAAGGTTTGGGGCAATGAAGGGAAAGAACTTCATGGCAGGATTCTACAAAAAACAAAAAACGGAATTATGAAACTCCCTTCAGGGTTCTCCCAAATCTTTTGTCCCCTGCCACCAGGAGATGGTCCCTGAATGCATTTGCCTACAGGGGGTTCCCCTCCAGCTGTTTTGCTCACCCATGCACTGGCGGGAAAGTGAGCCCAGCCACCACCCAGGTCCCAAGGTTTAAGGAGGCGCTCACTCTCCAGTTCTGACTCTGCACTTGCATGAGCCCGAGAGTGAACACCTGCTTAAATTTTGTCCCTCCCGCCGTGGCTGTTCTCACCCTGGTCCTGGGCCTGCCTAGCTCCCGCTTCTTCCTCTCTCTTTCCTCTACCCTCTCCTCCATCCTCTGCTGTCCTCACCCCCACAGTTCCCGCTGGCTTGTTACCTGGAAGGGTCACTCACTTTCCTTTGTTTCCCTGTCTCAGTCCACACTCAAAAGGAATCTATCAAGATACTTTCCTAAACAAAGGCCGTTCCTTCCCTAAGAGAAACTCACATACCAGCTGATTAAATAATTCTTTTCATGACACTGCACAAAAATGCCAGCAGGACAGGTGGAACAGTTCTTTGGTTTTCTGCATTGCCGGCTTCCCGCCAAGACAAATGCACCCTGTTCAAAGAGGGGACTTTTTTCCTACCTGATGTAATACAATAAATGGCCACTGGGGGGTAGCAGGTGCTCAGAGGCTCCCATGAACCACCAGGGCATCCAAGTGTGGTCTCCAGGAACTGGGTCAGGGCTGAGTCTGAGCAGGGCAAAGGAGCTTCCTGTGCAGGCCAGCAAGAGGCCTGCCATGAGTGGACAGGATCTGGTTTTGGAGTCAAGTTCCAGACAAAGCAGCTCCTGGGAAGGGCATGGGGCCAGTTAAGGGCTGGGGCAGGAGTCCAAGTGGAGATACACAGGGATCGAGGAAGGGTATTCTAGAGCAGGACTTCTGGTTCTGGCCTCCCCAGACCCACTCAGTATCCTGAATCATCGCTGTCCTGGTTTCCCTAGCAGCAGAGTGAGCTCTTTGCTCTCCTGACATTACATTTCTGTGATCCAGGGAGCAAGGGTCTGCGGAATGACCATCATCAGACACAACACTGCATGTGTCCACTGGGTCTGTACAGAAACAACAGCTTCTACTCGCCCACATTTGTAATGTTGCGGTGGCCCCAGGATCAAAATCTCTGAAACACGGTGTGCCCCGCCCACCCCCCGAGGGATAGATCACTGTCTCCAGCTCCAGAGCCCCAAAGCCAATAGAAAACAGCAGTGACCACCCCAATGCGAACCATAGTGCTTTTCAGAGCTGATTATTTCATATTTGTCTCCTCTCCTCATTTTCACAGAAGCACCCATTCACTCCTCTCACCAGCTGAAATGCCACGTCCATCCTGCCACTGACCACCACCTTGCCATCAGCCTCTGCCCCACCACGCTGTGTGCCATGGGCCACTCCCCTCTGCCCACGACTTCTCCTCCCTTGAATTCCCGGAGGACAGCCTTTTCCGTTTCCCCTTCCTCTTTCACCGCTCCCCCAGCCCCTGTCGGAGGACCACCAAGTTGGTTCTGAATCTGTAAAAGGTCACTCCAGCTTTGGGCCAGTAAAAGACCCTGGGAAAGCAATTGGAACATGTTTCCAAATAAATCTTGGCAGAGTCTGAGCTGCTAGACTAGAAGGGGGCATTCTTTTGACTTTCTCTCCCCTGGCACCTATGCCCAGAGCTTTCTGTAGGTGCCAGTGCAGAAAGACATCCTTAATGTGGAGGTCTGGAGGGCAATGATAACCCTCTGTTTCCATGAGTACAGACTAAGCCCCGGGAGACCCAAACACAGCCCTCTAGAAATCACACTTGCTTGTTCAGCCACAGACTCAGGAATATGTGTCATTTTTGCCCAGATGATAGCCTTTTTCTGGGCACCAGCAACCTAGGTTCACATTTTCTTGGATCCCCCAACTACTTAGCCCTGGTGTCTTGGGCACATGACTTAATGTCTCCAATCCTCAGCTTTCTCATTTTGTTAAATGGACAGGATATGCTTGTGAGACTCTAGTGCCCCCCCCCCCCAGAAAGCTCCTTGAACACTGCTGGACACCTAAGTCACTCACTACCTCTAAGTTCATGTGTTTAATTATCATTACCATTTATATGACTACTCTTCTTTCCTACATGAGACCTACCTTGACCCAGACAGTGCTCAGATATCTCAGAAAAGGCTATGGTTCTTTCTCCAAGGGATTTCCCATTTGTGTTAATGAGGACACACAGCTCATGATTCTTCTAGAACAGAACACCAGTTTCCAATATGCATAAATAGGGACTCCTCAGGCCCCCTGGCCAGGGACCTGCTGTCAATCCAGAATGCCAGACTAGGGCTAGAGAGTCCCAATACAGCCCCTAATTGATATGAGACCTTGGGCAAATCACAGCATCTTCCCAGGAGGCTGTTCCTCCATTTACATAACTGTGGGGGATCTAGACTCATTCCCCCCAGACATATCCCAGTAAAATTCCTGAACTTTATTGATGAAATCTTGCAGGCTTACAGGAAGAATGCTTTACTTACAAAGGGGGAAAAATGCTCTAGGTGAGAGCAGAGGCACCAAACTAGTTAAACTAGTTTAAACTAATTGGTTTAAATTAATTGGTTTAAAAATCAGCATCTAGACAGACTGAAAATCAGGTTTACGGGGCGGGGGGGTTCAAGATGGTGGAGGAGTAGCAGACTGAGATGACATCAGGTAGCAGGAGATCAGCTAGATAGTTATCAAACCATTCCAAACACCTACAAACCCAACAGGAGATCGAAGAGAAGAAGAGCAGCAATTCTAGAAACAGAAAATTGACCACTTTCTGAAAGGTAGGAAGTATGGAGAAGTGAATCCAAAGAGACAGGAAGATAGACAGTGGGGAGAGGTGCCGGCTCCAGGCAAGCGGCAGAGCAACAGAGCACAAAATCTGAACTTTTAGAAGTCTGCTCCACCTAGGGACATCGCTCCAGAGGCCAAGCAGGGGTGGAGCCCACACGGGAACAGCATGGTCTCAGGTCCCACAGGGTCACAGAAGGATCAGGGGTGTCTGAGTGTAGCAGAGCTTGCAGGTATTAGAGCAGGGAAGCCGGCTACAGAGATGGAGTGGAGGAGTGAGCTCTCAACTCGGGGTTACCTTAAACTATGATCCGTGGCACAGTCGGACCATTGCTCTTTGAGCAGGGGCTCCAC